ACATGTCTCCTGAGAGGTACCTGAAATGAAGAGAAAGAAGAAGAATTTCCGGAGGGGGTTTGTCCGGCGGGAACGCTCCAACGATTAAGTCAGTATTCTGTGTGAAAAGCAAAGGAAAGACGAAGGCTAAAAGTGCAAATTGCGCAAGTGATTCCAAGATACCATGTTCCTTGAGAATAAGCCCCTTATAACAATATTTCGTCGCATCAGGCCCCCTGGCTTCTGACAGGGCAGGTATAACCGCCACTGTCAGTCTGCCACAGCCGTTACAGGCAAGGCTGAGGTGGCACGCGTGGGGCCGTCGTCGCAGGGTACGTTCCTGTCAGGTGTAAGGCACCTTCTAAAGGTCGCAGGCGCGACGATATCTGACGAGGGGCGTGGCTGCTGCTCCCAGATTTGTCGGGTACGGTTGTCGGGCAGGAGATCTTTCGGCGATGCGCCGAACTACCCTTTTGCGAGTTACCCTGTGCCGGGCTATCCCATAGGCGGCGAGCTGCCTGTGGCAAGATATGCCGAGCTGTCTGGCCCAAAGTGTTTTCACCCCGGGGTGTCTAGAGGTGGGTCTGTGAGCTCCCGTCGGGGAGTGGCCCAAAGTCCATCGGGAGGAGCTCGGGTATCGAGAAAGGTCAGGGTACCCCGACCTCGGGGCACCCCGAAGTGTCTTAACCCCGAGGAGGAGATGCAGGCAAGACGGCTTCTGGCGAGTAGTTTATCCGCCCAGTTGCTGAGCTCAACTCGATGAGTCCCTCCCCCCGAGTTGTGGTCATATCAGTTGCGCTGTCACGCTGAGTCACTGTTTGAGCAAGGTCACGCCCACGTGTACCCGCGCTGCGAGATCGGGCCAAATCACCCTCCATCACCTCCCAACTCAAATTCTTACACCTCTTATGTTCTGTGTAGAAGCATTTTTGCGCGCCCCCCGGTTTTTTGGAACAAGGACCGAACGCAACATGGGCCTGCTGCATCTGTCCATAAAACAGATGTAAGCCAAGGCCCAAGGAACATTTTCAATTAAATCTAAAATAACACTGGCCCATGAGATCCCGTTTCCAATGCATAGTAGGATGTGTGTGTGAGGTTGGTGTAAAGCGTCTTGTGTGAGGAGCATATCCAGTCTCATTCAGAAAACGGGATATGCTCCTCACACATAGACGCCTTACAGGCACATCCACCATGCATTGAAAACATCTCCCGTGAATAATAACTTATAAATAAGGGAAATGTTCCTACTGCATGATAGGATGTGCGTATACTGTGTGAGGAGCAGATCCGATCTCTTCGGTTAGGGCAAGCCCATGCTCAAACTGTCTCAACAGCCTCTTACAACCTTGTATGGCGAATATTTCTCTATGAAATAAAGTATAAGTACGGAAATATTCTCCATGCAAGGCTATAAAAGGCTATTAAGCCGAACTCTTTACCCCCATATTCGCGAACAAATCTGCTGTATGGTTTCGTTCTTTCAAAGTGCATTTAAGCAATACAAAGCATCCCTGATCTTCTCTGCATGCTTGTATTAAAGAATCATAATGCCAAGGTAGTTGATCCTTTCCTAAGAAGCTGTCAATTGTGAGCTTCGAGTCCCTTTCGAATTACGATCCAAGTAATGTTATATTCTGTTGGAAAAGAAAAAACGTGATATTCACTTTGAGCCGCTACTTAACAAGTTTCTTCAACGACCCAACGCAGAATGGYCGTTAGTAATACATAGTACAATTTTCACTAACTTTTATAAATCCATTGTCGTCTAGTCCGGTTAGGATACCTGGCTTTCACCCAGGCGACCCGGGTTCAAATCCCGGCAATGGAATTTTTATAATCTTTTGGAATTTGACTTTCGTTTTCTTTTTTCTACCACCGTCCCACGCTCCAACCATTTATCGTTAGGGTTTTAGCGCTCTGTTGTTTAAGAATTTGGATTTTGGAGGGGGTCACCGCTCGCGACAAGCCCCAATCTTTCGAAGGATGGATGAGATGGGGAAGCGAAGCCCGACGGATAGAACGCAGAGAAGTGAAGTTGGTCCCTCAACCGCCCTGGCTTACCTCGACCCTCAGTACTGGTTCGATTCCTTCCAATTAAATTCCTTTTTCTAATTCTCTATTTCTTATTTTTARCTTCAAAAGGATAAACCTACGTTAGAATTCTCTTCAGGGACCAGAGATTCTCCTCTGAAGAGCACTACGAATGGTTCAAGGACTATTCTCATTTCCGTCACCTCATTCAGGAGCATATGAATCCCAAGTCCTCTGTGGGTATCTGCTCTCGCATTGTGGGTAATGTGTGTACGTATTCACGACTTTGAATTTCTCAGTTCTGACAAACAAAATGTAGGTCTTGGAGATTGGCTGTGGAAATTCTCATTTATCTGAAGAGTTGTACAAAGACGGGATCACTGAAATAACCTGCATTGATCTCTCAGCAGTTGCCGTGGAGAAGATGCAGAAACGATTACTATCAAAGGGATATATAGGTGCGTAGATAGGACTGTTGAATATGCTTGCAAAGCACCATTTGCTTATTAATGCTTTAGAGGACATCTGGGAGTCAGGTGGAATAATAGATAGTTTTTCATATTAGGTGTTCCTTTGAATTTGAAAGCATAGGCTTCGTTAGCTGGATGTTAAACAAAGTGAGAAGTAAATTTGTTTCTTCAAGTCCTAAATTTGGGTCTTTTGTTTCCTTTAGCTGAAACATTTTAGATGACGAGGCTTTCTGGTGTCTAGATAAATTTGTGTCTTTTGTTTCCTTTTACCCTTCTTCTGATTTTCAGTCAGATTTATAATGACTCTGAACCTTTAAAGGAGTTTCCTTTTAGGCGGTGTAGTTTGGAAAGAAGAAGTTGGGGTTACTTTTTAGTACTGTAATCATCACAAGTATAAGCTGATTCTCTTTGAACCTACACAAGGAAATATTTAAATTTTTATGGGTAAATATTATTCAGTTTTTACCCATTTTGAGGTGAAGACATCTTGTAGCTGTATGCTGGTGCCTGGTGGTGTTAATCATTTTTCAATTTCATCATTTACTTCAAGTTGATGCTAAATGAGAAATTATCTCTGTTAGCTTCATAAATAGTTGATGTTATGAGAAATTGGAGGGTATACCAAATTGAGCCTTGATCATCATTATTCATTATCCATTAATGCCTGTATCAGATATCAAAGTACTTGAGGCGGATATGCTAGACCTGCCCTTTGGCAACAGCTGTTTTGACGTGGTTATTGAGAAAGGAACCATGGTAAACATAAGTTGAGAGCATCTCCTCCTGTTTACATTAGATTACAATAGACTATTCTTGTTATTGAAGCTACATTTGCTTTTATTTTCTTAGTCTTTTTCTTATTGAGGTGAGCATGTAAACCATTTTGAACTTGAAGGATGTATTGTTCGTGGACAGTGGTGACCCATGGAATCCTCGGCCTACAACAGTATCGAAAGTACTGGCAATGCTTGAAGGTGTTCACAGGGTTCTGAAACCTGATGGTGTTTTTATTTCAATTTCTTTTGGTCAGGTAACAAGAGGAAAAAAACACATAGTTGTTTCTCCTACTGCTATTCTTTTTTTTTTTTTTTTGAGAAAGTAAAAGTATGTTGTATTGTATTGTATTGCTATATGAAAAGAGGGGGTTCCCTGTTGCTATTCTCTTACACTTTTTCTTGTAATTTGAATCTCCTGCAGCCACATTTCAGGCGGCCATTGTTTGAATCTCCAGAATTTACCTGGTCCATTGAGTGGAAGACTTTTGGCGATGGGTTTCACTATTTCTTCTATATTTTGAGGAAGGTTTGTATAAATAACATTGTTTCAGTATTTCTTTCTATGCTTATGTTGTATCTTTATTATACATCCAATCTTTATATGGCTGGAGCTTCTTGAACTCATTTCTTGATGATGAGCAATCATTCAATGTTTTGGGACACATATACTCATCTCTTGTGTTCACTCAGGGAAGGAGATTAGGAGATGCCAAAGGATCTGGACAGAGGTCTGACATACCATCTATTTATTTGCTTCAAGAGGAGTTAGAGGGTGAAGATTACATCTTTCGAACAGATGTTGATGAGTTGGATAATTGAAGTTGATTGTACTTTCTTTTTTGTTTTCTTTTAGTGTAATGTGTGGCCACATTGACCTTGCATGTAATGGATTCAATTTGCAATTTAGAGATCAGTAAAACAGGCAGAATATTATTTATGAAAAAAAAATTGAAGAGTGGCTGATATAAAAGCTGTGCTAAGTTCCTTTGTTTTTCAGTTAGGCAACAATTGTATTTTGAATAGGTGGAAAACAATCTTTTAATCGTAACAAAGGCTGAAATATTTCAGACTTGAGAGTAAACAACTTCTACGTCCTTTATGATAAAATAAATGGGGCTTTATGAAAAAAGGCAACTCCTTAAGGATTCCACTTAGACCTGTTGTTGAATTGCCTTGGCTCTTTCCAATTTGTTGCACTGTCTGCGAAGATTTTATTCTTGAAACTGGGATTGGCTATACCTTCCAATTTCCATAGTTTGTTCACAGTCGCTTAACATAGTTTGTTCACGTGCAGAGAATACCTTCCAATTTCCATAACCTTTTGCAAGTTGAAGGTTCAAAACAAGGTTTTTAAAATCGGACTGGACAGAGATCCGTTCGGGGACGGTCTGACCATCTGGTTTGAACGAATGGCTTGTCTTGACTTAAAAAAGAAATAAATAAATAACAGTAGGTCATTGACCAAATTAACGGTTTTTGAACAAAAAACAGTTTTAAAATGAAACAGGATCAATTACCTGACTGATTCCCAGTTTTTCTGGTCCAACTATCCGATCCAGCCTGTTTTGAAAACCATGGTTCAAGATGGGGTGATCATTTCTATCCCTGCAGTAGCCAATTCCATATAATTGGAAGTAGCAAATCTGCATGGAAGGGAAATGATAGAAAGACACAAATATGACAGCATATGCCACTAACAGAAGTCTCATATTATCAGTTTATCACTTCTACCATAAGACAGATTGACGATCAAACGAGTATATTTGGAATAAGGGTTTTTTTTCGTTCATCAGATTTCATTTCCATTTTTCCTAAGAAGATACATACATACAAAATACAAGGTTTTTCACTCTACAAATATACTCCTTAGGTTCAGTCTGAGAAGAGTATAAATATAAATATGTATAGTGTAAAACTTTATATATTATATTTTTAAATTTTATTTGTGCATTGTATATATTTGTATYTGTACTCTTTAGGCTCAATTCTGAAAGAATACGATACAAATATAAGGTTTATGAATACAAAAGAATGCAGAATGCAAGGTTTTGCAGTATATATATATATATATATATATTTTTTTTTTCATTCATATGGAGATGTTCCAAATGCATAGCTACAAGTGATGCGATTGGGTGTGAGGAATTTCGAATTCATGAAACTCTTATGTTTATATAATAATAATAATAATAATAATAATAATAATAATAATAATAATAATAATAATAATAATAATAAAGGTTCTTTACTTAGAAACCCCCTATAATTTACAACTGCTATACTTGATTGAACTCCCATCACCAACTGTTTGTAGGATAGGAATAGTCAGGTGACCTCTTAAAACAAGTGAAAGGGCATGAATTAGGGTTTTTTCATTCTAAAAATACTCCCAATACTTCTCACATTTTAGGAAACAAAACCCTCCCATATGCGGTCATGCCCTCTTACATTTTTCCACTTTGTAAAGCAGATGCAAACTATAAGGAGTACTTTAATCAATGTTTTAAAAATTGACCCAGAATCGGAATTGTTCTGGCTGCCGGTTTTTAAGTCGGTAATTTGACCATCCAGTTCGAATGAATGGCTCATTCTAACAAAAAAATAATTAAAATAAAAAATAACCAAAAATCATTAAATGGATCAAATGGACTGATTGTTCTACCGCCTGAGTCAATAGATCGTTAACCAATTCAATAGTTTTTTTATCAGGGACCAAATTAAGGATAAAACGGAATCAATTGCCTCAACAGTTTTCAGTCCAAATGGTCCGACCGCCCGGGTCAATGACGATTATAAAACATTGACTTTAATCATATGCAAACTAAAAGATATAGGTTTTAATAAAGGGTACATTTTAATAAATACGTAAAACTGCATGAATGACTAAGCAAATGCCCTAAGGCCCCTAATAATAATAATAATACTGTATACTACTGTACAATACTCCCCTGACGGTTAGTTAAAATACAAGGAGTATCTGTGTTATTTGAACGACATTCATTGTCCGTTGGGTGCCTTATCTTCTCACGGCTGCGAAAGGGAAAATGACAGCTATTTCAGTTTCCTCTCTCACGGCTGCCTTATCTTCTCTCTCGTTTTCTTCCCAGATTGCTCCCAAGTCTCAAAATCTATCATTCTGTCGGGAAAAATCCTTTCAAAACACCTACCTTGTCAATCCCCCTTCCCTGGTCATTGCCGCATCGGCTGCTACGGTTACTTCTCCGGTCGGTTTGGAAACCACAAACCTTGAAAAGTACATCAAATCCAGACTAACCGGTGGTTTCGCCGCACAGACAATCATTGGAACTGGTCGACGAAAATGTGCCATTGCTCGCGTCGTTCTCCAGGAAGGAACCGGGAAATTTTTCATCAACTACCGCGACGCCAAGGTACGACCTCTTCCTCGAAATTAGGGTTTCTTGACATCTTATTTGATTCAAGCCTCTCGACGTGTATCGTGATGCCAAGTCCAATGTTTGGACATCGGACTTATAATTGTAGTATTATCCGAAAATTAAGGTCGTGTGGCGGTGTCCTCTGTATCAATGTTATTTTTGTTTTTTTTTTTTTTTTTCTTTTTGTTCTTAAAGAGGCTAACGATTAGCAAGTTCTAATTGAATTTCTTGCTCCCACAAAATGAATTTCTGTGAAAATTAAAAGTCCAAGAAGAAGAGAAACTCAAAGAAGGCGATTTTTGTGTCAATCAAGCATGATTTTTGTGAAGTATTTGCAAAAAAATCTAAGCTGCAACTACACGTCAACGTGTAGATTTTACAATTCAATGTGGTATTAGGATACAGAATGACCAGATCAGTTGGCGACAGTAATGTACAACGTCAAAGAAGGAAAAAAAATGCATGTAACGGGTATCGGTGCAGGATTATGGTTACTGCCTTACTGGTTACTAGTGGTAGTGTGCAACTTGAACACAGGTCTTGTAATCATATGAGTGCGTATGTGCTCCTGAAAACTGATTACAAAGCCTAAGGCTTATCATGGCTTGAGTTTTGTGATAGATAAATGAACTAGAGTTTTGCGGGAGGATTGTCGAAGGTTAATGTGATTTTTTTTTTTTTTTTTTTCAATCAGAAGAAGGTTAATGTGATTATGGGAGAAATAGAAGCAGCAAGTCATAAAGTGGGGTTGACAAGGATAGAAAAAAAATAGTGCTCTAGGACCTGTATATTAATTTGGTTAAATTATCCCATGATTGATGTTAACTGGTAAAGCATTAAAATAGGAAATTAATTGACGGATAAGATATGCATTTGTTAATTAGTGATGCTAATGTATTAGCATTTTCCATCAAAATAACTATAAGTCTATTGTTGGTTGTTTGCTTTAATTTTCCATCTAGATACTTATTTAAATAAATCACTATTTCCAGAATCTTGAAATGCTGGACATCAGTACATAGCAATATCTTCCCTTTCATGATTACTCAGTCCTATAGCTATCTAATTTCTAGAGGAACTAGCAATTGGTAAACCCGTTCATTGTGAATCAGTTCACAAATCATTTCAGTTAAGTTTGGTATGTATGACAATTTACTGATTTATAAGTAAGTTTAAAAGAAAAATAATTCTAGAATTTTCTCTCACATTTGTTTTTGCACATTTATGGATAACTTGAATTTAAATGTAAACACCACTCCTCATTTGGGTTCTCTTACCATGAGGGTTAATGGAAGACTTCAATTTAAATTCAAATGCAACTCCCCATTTGGGTTCCCTTATTACGAAGGTTAAATTGAAGTCTGGAGACTTCAAAGTCTCCGAATCATGCTTAAATACAAGAAGTTGCATGTTTATTCAAGATGTCAAATAACTTCCTATTTTTCTTAGATTAAGCTCAAACAACTTTAATCATGTCCAGCATTTGCAATGGACAATCAAATGAAAATAAAATATTAGAAGCCTACTACTATTGAACTGGGTTCTGTAAAAACTGATGAATTGTGAACCACAAACCCAAATTGAAATCACAAAACCAGGTAACTATGTGCAGTCCTGATTCGGCTTTATGCACTTAATGTCACTATATGTGACATTATATGATTTATGTTGGAAATTTGGTGTTGAATGAATTGAGGCAAATCTTATATCATCCAATTGTGAATGAGGCAGGTTTTAAACGGGTATTTGATGTTTTAAGGATCAATATTTGAACATCTTTTTGAATATACTTTTAGAATCAAATGCTTTGGCTGATGTGTTAGCCAAACAAGGGACAAATAGGGAAGAATTGTTTTGGGCTCAGCTGTGATTTTATGTAATTTATTACTAGCTTACTTGTGAGCTATTGGGAGAGGCTACAGCTCGCGCCTCTCCATGGGATGTTGTATGAAATTACAATTCTAAATCGGCTTCTGAATTAATAAAATTTCTTCTATTCATAAAAAAATGAATTCATCTTTCATGGTCTCTGGAATGAATATGCCATTTGATTATCAAATGTATTTGATGATTTGTTCCTTATAAGTTATTCTTGGGTTTCTGATGCTGTGCAGGAATATCTTCAGGGGAATCCCTTATGGCTACAATATGTCAAAGTCCCTTTGGTAACCTTAGGATATGAAAGCAGCTATGATGTGTTTGTTAAAGCTCATGGGGGTGGTCTCTCTGGTCAGGCTCAAGCAATTTCTCTTGGTATTGCTCGTGCTTTGCTAAAAGTGAGCGAGAACCATAGGGTGCCTCTTAGGAAAGAAGGTCTTCTGACCAGAGACTCAAGAGTTGTTGAGAGGAAGAAAGTTGGTCTCAAGAAGGCTCGCAAAGCCCCACAGTATTCAAAACGTTGAGGTTAGGACCTTGAATATTCAAGGCTATTTAAAATTTCCCTCCTACTTGTGTTTATTTCTTTTTTAGAAAATGTCCTACTTGTGTTTATTTGTCTTTGAAGGCATGTATCTTTAATCATAGGTTTTTATTGCTTTTGTAGTTTCAGAGTGAAACATGGCTCTCGATTCTTTCAATGTGTTCAACCTATAAAAAAATTTTCATGTTAAGATTCTATTCTAGAATTGCAGTACTTTCCATTTAATCTCGTAACATGCCTCACGTATGGGATTAATAACCAATGTGGGTGCATGGTAGATTGAGATATAATTATCATGTGCAATGGTTGTCAACTTTTCTCCTCTGTTGTCATTACCTTTTCGGTTAGACCTTGACACCTTGATTAAAAACCAGATAAAATTTATTATTAATTAATTTTTAAATAAAAATAATTTATTATTAATTAATGATTAAATAAAAGTATTATTTATTTTATTCATAGTTAGATATGAATATGTGGGATTTTTAAGTGGGACCCACCTGTTATTTTTTTCCTTGAAATTATTTAAGTTAAAAGAGTAAATTATTTAGATATGCACTTATTACAAAACATAGCTCATTCGGAAAAGAAAAGGAAATGCAATTTCATCTTGGTAAATGTTTAGCAGGTTGGCACATATGGTCCGTACCTGCCAAATGGCCATTAAGAATTTTGAATTCTTCAAAATAAAACTTTTCAAAACCCCATTTCCCCTTTAAAAGACAAACTAAAATGCCTTTGTTACAAAACATGATTCATTCGAATCTCTCTCTCTCCCTCTTTTCTACTCTATTCCCCTATCATTGCATTCTTGTGTTTCTACAATGTGAGCTCTCAAATAGGGGTGCAACTTGGGCTCAGGCCAAAGAAGTCAATTTTTTTTTTTTTTTCTTTTGGTCGGGCCCCCTAGGCCTAGCCCTTAAGGTAGCAGCTTGAATGCAGCTTGACCCCAGCTCAACTATACACATTCATATACATATATATATATATATATATATATATATATATGTAAACTTTGCATACACATTACATATACATGTATAATTTTAGAGTGGGTTCATTGACCAACTTGAGCCCAGCCCGGGCCCGAGCCCAACCCAAGTGCATCAAATTATAATACAGGCTGGGCATGGGTTGGGAAGATCAATCTTGACCTCAGGTTCTATGCTCGTCAATGATACATGAAAACCCGAGGCCCAATCCGACATCCTATCCAATTATCTTGGATTCAGATGGTGTATATATGTAATCAGATCGGATTTGGATGTTATAATCTACATTTGATTAATAATCAGATTGTATTTGGATTTGACCCCATCCAATCCAATTATAATATAATATTTATTAATTTTAATATATAAGTTTTATATAATTATATTAAAATAAAAAATATATTCTATATATTATATTATATGTGAATTTATATATAATAAATTTAGTGTGTTATATTTATATTACTCTATTATATATAAAGGTTAAAAAATAAATATTTTTTTTTTGCTATTCTAGTATTTTAGAAAATTTATAGCAGAGTCGGATTAAATTTGAATCCGATCCGAGTTTGTTAGGATTTGAATTTGAATCCAAGTTTTTAAATCCAATTAGATTTCAGATCAGATTCAGATGTATGCTATCAGTAATTGGATCAGATGTGGATTTTGCTGCATCTATTCCAAGTTCGATCCAATTACAGCCTCATCAAGTTCATGCCTTAAGCCCAAATTTTATGGTCAGGCCTGGGTTAACCATAAACCTGGCCCAACCCGCCCAACTTGCACCCTTATCTCAAACCAGGTATTCTTTCTATCTTAGTACGAATTTACTGATTTAGCAAAATAGAAGATAATTACTTGATTTTTATTATGGGATGACTTTCATATTATCAATTGCATATTGATTACTTCATAACATTGGTCTTGAAGTCTTGAATGTCCAAATTGCCAACCAAGTGGGCAATTACAAATATGGATCTAAGATTTTGGCCAAGCCCATTTGGTATTAGTAATTTATATTCTCATTTTAATTTCTTTTTGTAACATAATGGTTTGTTTTTATCATATGAAGTGATGGTTATTGTCTATTCACATTAGCCTTGAATGCCTCATTTTCTAACTTCTCTTTACATTACATTTGGCAACAAGAGACTATATTTGCCAATTTAATAAAACTTTACCAAGTTGGAACTATGTGACCAAGGTTCAAAGTATCGATACGATACGAGTTTCGGTCGTATMGTATTAGTACTTAGAAACGACCGATACATATTTTTTTTTTAATTTTTTCTTTTCAAAGTTTAGTTTTTTGGGAAGCTTATAAGATATTTTTTATTATTGAAAAATTTTGGGGGTCCGAAACACTTGCAAACAGGCGTTTCGGAAAAGATACGATACGATACACCCCGTATCGGGCGTATCGTATCGATACTTTGAACCATGTATATGACTAATTAGAAGTGCAGAAACATGTGGTAGTCACAACAAATATTTATTTTTGTTTAATAATAAATAAAAATATATATTAGACATAATTGTGTTAGTTACTTGATTGCTCTCCCATAATGATCATATATGAATTCAATATTATACTAGTAACAATTTACTAAGATGAATTCAAGATGTTGGCTAAATTCATTGGGAAGGATATGATCATCATCATTTGGATAGTACGTTTCATAACAATATTGATTATTGTGTGTTCACTTCTCCTCAATGGCCATTTGGCAATAAAGGGCCATATCAACCAATTTGGTAAAAATTTATGAGAATGGAATTAACATGTTAATTTTAAATCTAAAAACATACAAAAGCTATTATAGATATATAATATGGTTTGATAATGGAAAAAAGGTATTGTAGGTATAGTAGTATTATATTTTGGTTATCCTCCTATAATAATTGCTAGCTTGGTAAAATTTTGTCAAGATGAGTCTAGGGTATTGGCTAAGTTCATTGGGAAAAATATAACCATCCTCATTTTGATAATATGTTTCATTGCAATCAACTCAAGCACAGTGGCATAATAGCATTGGTTATTGTATGCATCATCTCTTTAATGGCCATTTGGAAAATATGAACTTATATGTGTCAACTTAGTAAAATTTTACAAAGATGGGATTAAAGGATTAATTTCAAATTTGAAAACATGCATAAACTATCAAAAATGTATAGTATTGTTTTATCACAATTAACTTAAGGACAATGATGTAATAGTATTAGTTATTGTGTATACACTATCTCTTTAAAAGTCATTTGGCATATATGGGCTATATGTGCCAACTTGATAAATATTTATTAGGATGAAATTGCATTTTCTTCAAACGTTTTTTCTTTGAATGAGTCATGTTTTATAATAAGGGCATTTTATTCTGTCTTTTCAAAGAAAAATGAGATTCTGACATTGAAACAATGTTGGCTTGACTCTAAATCAGTCAAGACAACAATTCCTATGTGGGGTGGAAATCTATTCTACTTTTCAAAAAGTGGAGTTATATATGTTATGGATTTTGTTAGAATTCTGAATTGGGGCTATCCTTACTTTTCCCTTTTATAAATAATTCTTTTAACTTGTGCTGCATCAAGGATATTATTTTATTATTTGTTTAATAGAATCGTCAATGGTATATTTAAAGTTGTCCGTTTTAGGTCATTTCACCATAATTTGAGGGCAAAAATGGTCTTTTTGAAACTTTAGGTTCAAAATGGCCTCCTTACAAGGTTCAAGGGTCATCATAGCCATGAATCCCTTTCCTCATTCGTTTTCTTATTTTTTGGGGACAAATTTCTTATGTTCTCATGAATCACGATCCTGCATTCTCATGATTCAAGATTGTTTATATTAATTAATTATGTGGCGTAATGCGAGTGGTTAACAGCCTTCGTAACGGAGTGGGGTAATGGAAGAGTGGGGAAAGAAAAGGAGAGGGGAGAAAGAAAGAAAAGAAATTGGAAAAAGGAGAGGCATGCTGCATTGGTTTATAAATATAACGCAAGTAATAGATAAGACATAAGAGAACCGCACACATCAACCAAGGTAACGGATTGATTAGCTTAACATATAAAGTATATATAAGAGGACCCAATGCATCAACCAAGATAAGAGATTGATTGATTGCTTTGGAAATTGGGATTGACATCTGATGATGCATGATTTGGTCCCTCCTCGTTGGAGGGAAGCTCGGATGTTGGGCTAGCTATGTGGTTGGGTTGAACCGGAAGGCAATAATATCACAGTGTTTTTGGATGTTTTATCCAGTGTGGACATTTTGATGTTTAAGTTAGCGATGGAGATTTAGAGAAAACTGATAGCTTGAAAGTATGAGGATGCAAGAGGTAAATCACATATACCTTGTGAGGTTGGAGGCGAGACCTTTATATAGGTTAATTGTCGTGTGCCTCACGATGCATGTACAAGATCACTGGCTCATCTAACCCGGAGTTAGCTTTGCATCCGATGCTGAACTCCGAGTAAACTGATAAGGCTTATCTAGGTCTGTCTGAATCAAGCGAGGTGAAGATAAGATCCATTGACGTACGCCATGATCCTGAGAAGATTGGAGACAACTAGCTTGCTTCTAGGAGGCTACGTGGCACCACGGCAAGTCGATGGATGTACCGAGTTGTTCGGGCCTCGGTCTAGCTGTGTGACCTAAGGTGACCAAGGTGATTAGGATGGTTGAGGTCTCCGAGGTTGCTGAAGTGTTGCCATATCATTCCATCGCACCACATGTCATCATATCATTGGACGAGCCAAATTATCCCTCATCACTTGCACCCCACTCCCAAGCCCGACATAGTCAACTTGAGGCAAGTCTCAACGAGCTAGATGGATTTAGCACGGTTTTCAATTCAACCATAGTCCAACCAATGGTTCATACCTTATCAACTCGACTAGCTCGACCTTAAGGGGCAAGGTCACGTCTTGGGCACGCACGGAGGTCATGCAAACATTAAGCTCTACGAATGTCAAAAACACGCTCAATTGATTTTTGCCTAGGAATACGAACAACACACCCCTAGGAGTCATAGGATTCGCTCGATCTAGTTCCTCCGTGATCGGTTAAGGTGGTTATAAATAGGGCACTTAGGGACCCATTTGAAGGGATGAGAGATCCATCATATGGATAGCCGAACCCTACAGGAAGGCAGGGCGAAATTTCAAAAATTTCTCTCTCTCCCATGTGGGAATCACATTCCCTGTT